AAATGTTTTCTTATGGTTTAAGGGTCTCTAGGGATCTGTGTCTCTCAGAGGAAACTGCGACAGATCGACGATCCCATCCAACGGCTGCTGGTCCAGCTGCACAAAATCATCTTCATCACTCAAGTACAGACATTTTCTAAGTTTATTTTTTAAAATAAAATGTATTTAAATAAATGAATAAATTAAAAAGATAAAGCATTTTATTTTAAAAAATAAACTTAGAAAATGTCTGTACTTGAGTGATGAAGATGATTTTGTGCAGCTGGACCAGCAGCCGTTGGATGGGATCGTCGATCTGTCGCAGTTTCCTCTGAGAGACACAGATCCCTAGAGACCCTTAAACCATAAGAAAACATTTAATCCTGGCTGAGAAAATTCACATTTTATATCAGAGGGGACCCACAACATGTAAAACGTGTGCACTGACGATGGCTTCTCTATTTTGTGGCATAACATTATTTAAAAGCAGATGTTGAAATGGCACCTGGTCTTGATTTTATCTTGGAAGTAGCAAAATCCCCACTGAGAAAAAGAGGAAGTGAGAGAAGCAGTTCAGCAGAATAACGTTGACACCCGTTCCTCTCTAACCAAAGGAGGCCGGGATGGGAATGTAAATGAATGCAAATGTTATAAAATATGCGTCTGTTTTCACCTACCAGGCTACAATCTGATCCGGTGAGGCACAAACCACAGGCTGGACCACTGGAGCTGGAAATAAAACAAGGGTTGTTAAATAAAATCCATATAAACTGAACCAAAGAGCCAAACGTTAACTCACAAATAAAGACTCTAATGTCTCCTTCACCCCACATCAGTGGTGTCCAAACTTAAATCGTTAAGTTGAAAGAACATGGGTCACAACATTTGTATACATTTTTTTAAAAAATAAGTTTTTATGCCTTTTTCATTTGATCTGTTCAATAATAAACTAAAGAATATTTCATTGAGATGAACAAAATAGTTGGATTTTTGTAGAATATTTTTTAGAAACAGTTATAAAACAAGTTTATTTGTATCGCACATTTCAGCAACAAAGGGTTAGAAGGGTTTCATGATTGATTTTGTGTTTTTTGCAAAGTAACAGATTTTGTGCCACTAATTTAGAAATATTTGTAAGGAATTTGTGTGATATTTGTGGAAATGTATGATGTTAAATGTGACTTTTTATTATCTGCCGTATCGATTAATGGCTATAACTTGGCATGAAGTAAAGCTGAGTCAATTTTTATGGCCAATTTTGAGAAAAATTTGCAGTAAAAATCTGAAAAAAAAGTGGGCATCTGCTGATTTTGTGTGAATTTTGTGAAAAACTGGAGAGACTTATTGATGTAATCTAGAGGGCCACATAAAAAGCTGCGGTGGGCCACATTTGGCCCTCGGGCATCAGTTTGACGCATGTGCTCCAGATCTCGCTGAGACATTAGTCGTCTAATCCTGGAAATGCTCTTCAGGTGACAGAAGGCCAACTTTGTAACGGTCTTTATGTAGCTCTGAAGGCTCAGGTCAGAGGTCATCACTGCTCCCAGATTTCCCAATTACATCAAATCTGTGTCTGTGCTTCACCTTGACAGTTTGCCTGCATGGCGTCACCAGCGCTGCAGACTGCAGAGGAGCTCCGAGCCAAACATTCAGTTTCAGTCAGCCGCCTTCCCTGCATTAAAAACTTATATAAACACTGGAGCGCTACACAAAGCAACGTGTTTAAAACCCTAGAGTCCAGGTTTACCATGTCTGAGTGGCAGAAGTTATTCCTGCTCTGTTGCCTTTCCAAAAAATACTTCTGTGTTCGTTTCCTGTCTTTATCAGCCCTGCGCTGCAGTGCATTCTGGGAGATGTAGAGTCCGTCCATCAGCCTCATCATGAGGTCAGAAATCCTGGAGCTGACGGCTACGATGTCCGGCCGCTGCTCCGGGTCCGAACTCAAACACCTGACGGATTAGCAGGTAGAATACTGAAATGCTAATCCAAATTAGCAGCAACATGTCGACGTCTGCGCTGAAGTCTCACCATCGGATCATATCTGTGAGTCTGTCTGAAAACGCTCCCTCTTCAACCGGCTCATAGACTCCTTCAACGATCTGTCAGTTCAGAACAAGAGCAAAACGTAAGTCTGAGGGTGTAAATATGAGGTAGATTGATTTGGTTTGTTGCTACCATGCTGGCCAGTGACAGCATGTTGCTGCTGTAGAATGGTGGATGTAAAGCTGCCATCTGGTACAAGATGCAGCCCAAAGCCCAGATGTCGGCTTTGTCCCCATAGGGCTTGTTCTGCACCACCTCTGGGCTGTCAACAACACACAAACACAAACTCAGTAAAGATACTTCCTAGCTAAAAGTATCATTTTAAATCACTAGAGGCTCCTCAGGTTTCCAGACAGAGTTTACTAAAAGACACTGTATTATTCTCACTATAAAAGGTGACCTGTTGTACTTCCTCTAACTGATGACTTTAGGTCTGTACAAAACATTTTCATTACATTTTTATGCAGAACATCATTTTCAAATAACGAGATTTTAATCTGCTCAGTTCTTCCCGTTATGATCTCCTTTCACAATGAGCTGTTTTAATACGTCTTATCACTTTAAATCCAAAGAGCTCCTGCTGGCCACGCCCCTAAACTCAACATTTACACTCAGACGTGAAAATGGCTGCAAGCAGATGCACAATTATACCCAAGTACATTTTTGAAAAACAGAAGTAGAGACAACATTTTGTAAATGTGGACTGACTGGTTGACCTTTGATGGTTTCTGGAAACATTTATAAATATCTTCAAAATGACGGCGGTACAAACACAAACGTTTGACACCAATTTCGTATAAGAAGGAGGGGCAATACTCCAGATCAGGGGTCCCCAAACTTTTTCCTGCGAGGGCCACATGACTGTTCCCTTTTGTGGTCGGGGGCTGGTCTTAGTTTTTCGAGAAAGAAACCTTAGAAAAGTTTTGTTGACGGGGGGAGTAGAGGGGGGGGGGGGCATTGCCGACGACATATTCGCGTTTGTAGATAGATTTTTACCCAGAATGCAAATGGAAAAAAACCGTGAGCGAAACGGTGACTGGAACTGACTAGTATATATTCCATTGAGGGAAACTAAGTTTCATATCTTTCTATAGAAACATCTTATAGAAAGATCCACATATATATGAAAAAAAACACTGAATGCTCTCTG